AAAAGAAAATTAAGGAAAACTATGGAAGCAAAATATTTTAGGAGTGTTTCAGGGGGAAGTAAAGTTTGTTTACATACTATTTGTTCGAGTTGTTTTTTTTTGATGAATTTATACCATATTATGGCCGCTTCGGGAAAAAATAATTTTCACTGCCGTTTCATCAATACTAATAGGTTCTTGAATAATTATATCGGCTAAGACCGCTCTTTTAACGATGAAAACGCAAAACTATAAAATAAGAAGAATACTCCAACAATAGAATGTTACAAACTGCAGTTTCAGACCTCGCAGTGAGTATTACTCGATTTTGGTGCCTCTAATTTTTGGCGCTCTGGGCAATCGCCCGGCCTGCCTCGTCTTAGACCTTCGACAGCAGTGGCATAACCTATACTCCATTCATTATAACATTAGAAAAAAGAGGGTCATAGAAGCAGCGGTGCAGAACATTTTATTTTCAAGATAAATTTAAAAAATATATATTAGTTTTGTTGAAACTTTGGACGTTAGGTAGTCTTAAGGAGCTGGGCAATTTTCCATTTTTTACGATACCTCGGGGTTGAGATGAGGCCAGCATTTTATAAATTCATCTTTTACTGCCAAGCCAACATGGAACTAAAACTGAAACTATCTGTCTGTTGTTTTGATAAATTCTAATTGTAAGTGTAATTAGTAAGACTATTGATGAAGACATTGGAAAAACTCCCTGAAATGTGAAAGGTTGAGGGTAAGTAAGGGGGCATAGAGCGTAATTTTTGTAGGCCACTCGGGCCTGCACCGGCATCGTCCATATTTACCAAAATTTAACAACAAAAATAAAACAATAACAACTTAATCACGGAAAACGGCAAGACAACAAGAAAGCATTGAAATGAAATGAAAATATCTTTATTCAAGTAGGCTATTACAAGCACTTTTGAATCGTCCAAAAAACTTTTTTCCCCTACCACTTGTTCAGGACGTCTTTTAGCTGACAAGAAGAACAAGCGAAAGAAACTTACCAGCTTTTTATCATAAGTTATGAAATGACAATTACATAAATCATAGATAGATAGATAGATAGAATATTCTTTATTGCACACACAAAGACAATATACACTTATATGACAAAAACAGGAGACGTACAATTGGCGGCCTTATCACTAAAAGTGATTTCTTCCAGGCAACCTTGGAAATCATGTCATTACCAAAATAATATGTATTATCACAATAGTAAATACAACTTTCAAAGTCTGTAGAACATAGGTTGAACATACAATTAGAATAAAGCGAAGGCTATTAATTCCATGCATTGCGATCCTTAATATAATCATCAACTTTATAATAGCCTTTATTCATAAGTATATTCTTTACATGAATTTGAAATTTATTTATGGGTAGGTGAATTACATTTTGTGGAACTTTATTGAACATAGCAATACATTTACCCAGAAATGATCCTCTGGTTTTTTGAAGTCTGAAGCTTGGAACGGCAAGTTTATCTTTATTTCTTGTGTTAAGATTATGAACACTACTTTTTTTTGTGAAGGAATCGTAATGTTTTCTTGTGTACATAATATTCTCATAGATGTATTGAGATGCAACAGTCAGAATATTTATTTCTTTAAATATTTCTCTGAGAGATTCTCTAGACCGTAAATTATATATAGCACGGACAGCTCTCTTTTGTAAGATAAAAATATCCTGAATGCTAGCCGCAGAACCCCATAACAATATACCATACGTCATTACACTATGAAAATAACTAAAATATACCAATCTCGCCGTTTCAACATTTGTCAAGAGTCTAATTTTCTTAACAACAAAAGCTGCAGAACTCAGTCTACTTGACAAGCTATCAATATGAGGATCCCATTTCAGTCGGAAATCTAGTGTAATACTTAGGAACTTTGTCGATTCTACTAACTCAACTTTTTCACTATTTACATTTATAAGTGTACTGACATGCCTCACATTAGGTAATGCAAACTTTATGTATTTCGTTTTATTTGAATTGAGCTTTAAATTATTATTATCAAACCACTGTAGAACATTGTCGAGAGCATTATTTACATCGTCAAAACAATAATTACCCCTCTCGACTTTAAACAGTAAAGAGGTGTCATCTGCAAATAATACTGTCTCGCACAAATTCTTCGTAAAGTGAGGAAGATCATTAATATAAATTAGAAAAAGCAATGGTCCTAATATCGATCCCTGAGGTACGCCCGTAGTAACTGGTGCCCCTGCAGATTTCGCTTCATTGATTACTACTTTTTGAATTCTAGCAGAAATCCAATTTTTCGTCACACCATAATGCTCTAATTTCCCCAACAGTGTTTCATGACTAACGCAGTCGAATGCTTTTGATAGATCACAAAAAATGCCAATAGCATCTTGTTTATTCTCCCAAGCATCATAGATATGCCTCAGAAGTGCAATTCCAGCGTCTGTGGTACATTTACCTCTGCTAAAGCCAAACTGATTTTGGTGAAGTAATTTATTTAATGAAAAGTGTGCAAGCAATTGATTGTAAATCATTTTCTCAAATACTTAAATATTCACTATCATTCACAATGACAATCCCAGATTACAATTTTTACAATTATGAATAAATAATAGTCTGACAAAATTAAAAAGCTGTCCTGCCGAAACGTTTGAAGGGGTCAGCCCAAGTAGCACATAAATAATATATTAACTAAAATAAGTACCGATTTATGTCCTAAAGTCATACTAACATTTTTAATCAGCTCTGGTCAAGTTTCGAATCTGTTTAAAGGCATTTATTTTATCTAATAATGCTTAATGCCATATTATGGTTAATAAAAAAAGTATACCAATGTCAAAACTCCTATTTAAGTATTGGGTAATATTAATATAAAGCTGTTATCGTATTTCGGTGATATGAAAAACATTATATATTATATAAGCATTAACGTAATACTATTTAGTGCACTTAGTTGTATTTAGTCATTTTCTAGAAACAAAGGTTTTCTAATGGTCTATGGTTGTATCGATTTAATGCTTATCCTATATACACATTGAATAAAGAACTAGTAAAACTTTAGCACCGATTTGTTCTTAAAGTATTCTTTAATCAAGCTCAAGCTCCTTTATCTTCTTAATCTATGCTTTTATAAAACATTAAGCTATATTTTGATCAATATTAAGTTATTTATAGAGATAGAAGTAATAAATAGATCGTAATTATTTTTTATGTGAAATTAAAATGTAAAATTATTTTATGTATTGTATTGTAATGGTGGCATTTTATACGCATCGCTGGCGCCATGGACAAAAAACGTTGGGAAAAACAAAGAAAACAGGTGGATATAAATGAAAACTGAAAAAAGAGTATTCTAATTTAATTGAAGCTTTTAAAAATCAAAATAAAAATGAAATAATCGTTTGATGATTATAAGCACTATAAGATACTTCTGAAGTGTAAAAATACGGCTGTAACTAAAATGGGAGTGTGTTATACGGTGAATTACGAGCTCTTAGTTTTGTGTCTAACCATAATACGATTAACAGCTCTACTACACCATATTTGAATACCTAATGCTTTAATTTTACGAGTCGCCATTTGCTTTCTTTTTCCAATTCTTACAAAATATTTAAAGTCAACTGTGTCAGATGAAAAGGGGTAAATAATCATTTATTTTGTGCACAGATGCCTATAAAAGCAATTATGTTGTTAAAACAATGCTAAAAAGCCTAAAATTCAACAAAAATTTTTGCTACTAGGTTAAATTTTTTATTATTTTTATTATATTAAAGGAAGTTTGCGAAGGCGCGTGTATTTTACACCATAAACTTGTATATTTTACTCCACAAACTGATGTGTGCAGCTTATTTCACACAAAACGAGCTGTTTAAATCAATATTCAAAAATACTTAAAAGACCAGCCAAGAGAACATGTCATGACACTTACACAAAACAATAATTTAAACCGATTATATGTTTCTAAAATCTATTAAATATACTTTTTTACAAAGGAAATAAAACAGTAAGCATTTTTATAATATTAAATTAACGTATTATAATTTTGATTTACGCATATCAATTGTAATATAGTCACAAAAAGTTCAATTAGCACTTTAAGGTGCTAATTGAACTTTTTGTGGCTATCAGAATGCTTTTACCCGACTTTATTAATGCTATTATACAAAAGTTGTAGTGCTATTGCACAGCTTTTATAAAGCTTAAAGTCGTTCAAAGGGGGGGCCCAAATTTTATGTATAAGAGTCGTTTAAAAGAAATACGGTTGATATACAATTTTATTATAATGCTTAACGCTTGGACTCGTGCTATTATAAGTTTGATATAATGGTGTTTTGTGCTACTTGGGAGGCAACGTTTTAAATTTGGTAGTTATAGTGACATGAGAATCGTGCCGAAACTATCCAATCCTGCTTCTTTAGGTTTTTTAAGATGAACACTTTTTATTGTAATATTTATTAAATCTTTTAAGTTAGTCAAATACTCATAAATTTGCTTAATAGATAGCTTTAATGACAACAGTTAAGTATAGCGGCTGGTATTTATGTGGATATGTAGCAAATTAGCCGTCAGCCTTAAGAGTAAAATGATTATTGATATTTTGTCACAAAGTATACCATAAAAAGAACCTTATTTAACTTCTGTCTAATGCTAAAATGGCGTATAGTTGCTGTAGATTTATTGGGAATTCTGATCAATCAAAAGCAATAAGTATTTTTGGCAGTCCTCGCTTGATCAGTTAACGTGACATTTAACCAGTTGCACAAAGTTCCATTAAGGTATAATGGTGATTCCGAATTCTAATGAATGTTCTAAATTTGGTATTTGTATCGGTAATGACGCCTTTAACTGATGACAGTTTTAATGGACGTTTGTGCAACTGGGTGCAAGACTAAAGAAGTCTGATGAGAGAGATGGAAATCTAAAGCAAAGCTTCCACGTTCTACGAATGATTGTATGACCAATACGTAATAATGTATGTCTATAAGTCATCCTTATTTAGTTGTATGTTTATTTGCAGGCAACAAAAGCGTTCTTAGACGCGCTAAGCGAGTCAGGCGCGACGTGTGTGTCGCGGGCGACCGCTATCAAGTTTTTGTTTGCGCGAAAGTTTGACGTAATTCGTGCACATGCGTTGTGGCGGCAACATGAGGCTACACGTCGCCGCGAGGGACTCAATAAGTTTGAACCCTTCGAAGATCCTCTTAAGACGGAACTGGATACTGGCAAATTTACTATATTGGTGAGAGACGTAGCTATTTTGGAGTCATTTCTGAAATTAAATACTAGTAAAAGAAAATGGATGAAGTGGATAAAGCTATGTAAATTGCAGTCCTTTTTTTTACAATCTATCTCGTTTGTTTGTAATGAATAGGCTCAAAAACTACTGAATTTTAAAAATTCTTTCATCATTTGAAAGCTACATTATCCACGAGTAACATGGCTATATATTTTATTTTGAAAAAGAAAAAAAGGTTTCCGTAAGATATTTGGCAAGATATAAGCAACTTTTATGGTTGATTTTTTACACCTTTTGTTTTTCGGACACAAGGTGTAAAAAATCAACCAGAAAAGTTGTTTATTTTGCGTATGCTGCCTAAACTATAAAAGAAAGAACCATACAATTTTCTAATTAATTGTAGATCTTTAAGGCGGGGGTCTGCGTGCGGGAAGTGTATAAAAAAATGCGATATAGCGTAAGACGCCCTATTTTTAATCTCTTCAAAAATAGTGAACCGATTTCAATGAAACTTATGCTGTTGTTCTTATGCATAAAATAGAATCATTCTTTTGTATTCCAACAGCCAACCCGGGACGCTACAGGAGCCGCAATAGCAGTGTTTACTGCTAACAAACATTTTCCATCTCTAACCACCCATCAGACTACGTTACAGGTAACTATCTATTATCTTTATAATCTGGTAAACCCATAAGAAACACATACTATGCGTTTGAATTAAATCGAGTAGCTCGGTGGCGCAGTGGATAAGCGCCGTGGCCCGTGATCGTTGTCGTTAAGCAACCTTCATAATGGTCGGTCACGGGATGGGTGACCAAAAAGTTATTTGCTCGAGCTACTCCGTCCTTCGGTAGGCACGTTAAGCCGTTGCTCCCGGTTGCATTTGCAGTCGTTAATACCCTTCAATCCGCATTGGGCCAGCGTGGAGTGTCATGCGTCCCTGCCATTGAGACTTAAAAGGGCTAATGATGATGATTGTTTTGTTTTTAGCTATTTATATAACGAATTCGTGAAAAGTCTAGGTTGGCCTGTAAGAATCGTAGAGTAGTACATTTTCGAAACCAAGAGAAAATATTCACTGTATGCCGCGACTGATTAAGCGAGCAGCCTAGCGAAGCTGATCCTCGGTTTCTCGAGTCATGCATGACGTGCAAACGCACGCGCTGCCTGGTTCGAGTAATCCGTGATCGGATCATAGACCGGGCATCCTTGGTTTTTTTCAATGTTCAAAAGCACCTGGATAGATCAGCAGTGCGCACTTTAGATGGTTTTGTTTTGTTTGAGAATAGGCTTTAGCGCACGCCTCATGTATGGCAAATGTCCGAGGCTGCCGTAATCAGTACGCGGCTGCAGCTTTGCACTTATCGTTATTCAGAGAGGTGTAGTTTGTAGTTCACTAGAGCAGAAACAGACTGCTAAATTTAAAGATTTTTTTACGCACTTTGTCGTGTTGTGATTAGATGAATTTGATAGATTATAAATTCAATGTGTACTGAATATTTGAGGCGTAAGTAACGTGTTTTAAGTTTGATCTGTAATGTATTTGTATAATTATGTAGGGAGTGGTGTACCAGTTAGACGTGGCGCTACAGTCGCTCGAGACGCAGCGCGCGGGACTCGTATTCATTTATGACATGACCGACTCAAAATACACTAATTTTGACTACGAGCTGTCACAGAAGATTCTCACTCTGCTAAAGGTTGGTCTTATCTATCTATATATGTAAGACATTCGTATCACGATGTATGCCATTGATAAACTGCGAAATTACTGAACCAATTGTATTCAAGTTTCACATGCTCGGCCGTTTTTTCTCCCATGGTAATATTTAATTTATCAATTAGCGAGCCAAACCACAAATGTCATAAATAAAAAAATAATGTCATTTTATTGTATTTGCGCAAACAATGACAACAGCAAACAAATACCGACGTACGAGGTATATATACTTTTTTAATTTGCGCAGCACACAAATTAATTTGTCGACAATAAATTGTTATAACGTCATTATTTACTTAATAAACGCTGTTTATTGCACAAACCGCGACGACATACGACAATGACGAGATTCCTCATTTTTCAAATATAAAAGTCTAAATTTATTTATTTAATATAAATATTCATAATGAAAATATTTTTAATAAATTCATGTCAATTATAGGTTAGATATTAGATATTTTCCTATGAAGTTGCCGTTTTCATGAAATAAATGAAGTGTATTTTTTTCTATATTTTTTATTTCTTTTAATCAAAGTAATCCCCCATGCAATCAATGCATCTTTGCCAACGCATTGGTAGCTTATTGATGCCCTTCTTGAAGAAATGAGCTGGACGAGAGGCAACAAATTCTTCAAAGGCCTTTCGGATATTTTTTTTCCCGCCAAGAAATTATCCAAATTCTGGAAAAAGTGGAAGTCTTTAGGCGCAAGTAACAATGTGGTTCAGCCTGTTGAGCAGTACAAGGCTCGACGCGTACTTCGCGCTGGCGATCAATGACTTCGTGGGGTTGTCAAGCTTTTTTACCCCGCTAATTTGACGCAAATGGACCAATATTGTTTTGATGCTAACGTCGAAAGCTGCTGCTGATTCAGCCGTAGATTGAGTTTCATCAGCTTCCATTATCGCCTTTAATTCGACATTGTCGATCAAAGTTTTCGGACGGCCACGGGGTTCATTTTTCAGGTCAAAATATGCAGAACGGAAGCGGGAAAACCAATAACTTGTGGTGCGTTCATTTGTAGTGTTCGCTCCGTAAACGTCATTGATGTTTGCCGTTTGTGCCGCTTTGCTACCACGACGATAAATGTTTGAATGCGTTGAAAACAAAACACTAATTATTAAACAACGGCGATTTAAAAAAAATAATTTAAAATTATTAAAATACAATCAATTTGAGTTAGAATTATCAGCCAAAAAATATTTTGATTTGAAATGGCCAGTACGGTAGAACGGCAATTTCATAGGTAAAGGACCTATTATTTATTTGTAACGAGTAATAAGAATAAGAACAATACTTGCGGTCTAGAATTTTTTATATATTTTCATATTTTTGGCTATCAGAAGTCTATTGAAAGTACTTCATTCTAATTAAAAAATAAATAATGCACAGTAAAACTTATAACTAAAATATTTCCATAATAATTAATTAATCTCAAAACATTCAACGTAATAACAAAAATAATCATCATTATTTGCACTTTCAATGCAATAATAACAAAAATTGTTCTCTCTGAAATCTCTAAACAAACAAAGTGCGTAGTTTACAAATTAAGGAATCAACATTATTATAAGAATTGGATAACACTACCTTGAAAGCCCCCAATCCCTTATCTCCATGACGATCGGTTCCAGTAATCCTGACTACTTCTTCAGCCCATCTGTGCCAACAACCCAGATGGTTGTAATGAGCTATGTGCTCGACCCATTGCCACTTCAGATTTGCAATCTCCTTTAGGTTGGAAACTACTCCTCAGTGTTATAAGACATCACTGTCAACACACAGTGGGTAAAACCTTTGTTTAGAGACATTACGGTATTCGAAATGAAACTTCGGAATTTTCCGATCTCTGCCCAACCGAGTTAGATTCGACGAGCTCTTCCAAAGTCTCAGCCATGATTATGATATTATCGGCAAATCGAAGGTGAAGGTGGTATACTTTCGTCGATGTTGATGCAGTCTTTTCCAGTTCCAAAGCATAGATGTCTTCTGATGCAGCGGTGAAGAGCTTCGCCGGTATAATGTCGTTATGCCTGGCACCACACTGCAGTTTATACAACTTCAAATTCTGATAACGGAGGTGAACTGACATAGTGGCGTTTTCATATTTAGCGTTTCGATGTAACGATAGTCAAAAGGGCACTGCTGGAGTGACTGTACTCCTCGATCTTTTGGTTTATTTGGCGTGCAGTATATATGTGGACTATGGTGCTAAAGCCCTTTAAGAAACCGACTTGCTCGGGAGACTGGAGGTCGTCAAACATATTTCGACACGGTTCGTCCTGAAAAAAAAATTGTAAACATAGTTCATCGGGGAGATACAGGCCTGAAAATTTTCAAGTTGCTTTTGTCATTTTTTTTTTTCAATAAGACCTTCCCTGCGATTCTGAAAAAAATCAGAACCGATTTCGAATTCATTCATGTGTCCGGCAGTACTTGTGTGCCGAGTACTGCCGGACACACGATAATTGGACCCCGATTCAGCACCCAAACAATGCCCTAAACGAAAACTTACCCTTTGACAAGTGATGATCACTGTTTGGTGGTCCAACGCGGGTGTAATTCATCACAGCTTCTTATCAAACGGGACGGGCATTACTGCAGATGTGTACTGTGAAGAACTGAACACAATGATGGAGAAGCTCGCACGTCTCCATCCAGCTATGGTCAATCGATCGGCTCCACTGCTCCTGCACTACAACGCGCGCCCTCATAATGCACAGCAGACGGTCTTCAAGCTACAAGAGCTGGGGTTGAAAGTTATCCGTTATCCACCGTTCTAATCAGACCTCGCGCCTATAGGCTTCTATTTTTTCCATAATTTGATTAACTTCTTGGCAGGAAAAAATATTCAATACCATAGAGGCAGTACAAAATACCTTTGAAGAATTATTATTATTCTGAATAATAATATTAGATATTATTATTATTCAATACCAGAGAGGTATTACAAAATGCCTGTGAAGAATTTATCGCCTCCCGTCCAGCTGATTTTTTCAAGAACAACGGCATCAATAAGCTACCAATGCGTTGGCAAAGATGCATTGATTGCATGGGTGACTACTTTGATTAATAGAAATAAAAAATATATAAAAAATACGCCTCATTAATTTCATGAAAAACAGCAATTTCATAGGCAAAGACTTTACATTATTTAAAACTAAAAAATGTTTCCTTCTTCTTCATTAATTACTTCTTCATACTAAATGTTCATGGATGCTTGTGATGAATTTTAAACTTTATTGTGCCGTTATAAGGTTTAAATATATTTCAAGTGATATGGTGAGCACTATCGAGTAAACAAGTGTAAATGGAAATCAGTTTGAATTTTTATATAAAATAATTTTTGGAACCACAGTAACTCGTAGATTTTACGCTGCGATTCCGTGACAAGTCGTGACGACATGTTGGCGGAATTGCTCGTTCGTGGAGATACCCGACGATAGAAGCGCGAATTTCTTGCGATTCTCTCGCTAATGGAGAAGGCGACTTAAATTAAAAAATCGCGTCGCGCCATTCTGTCTCATACAATACTCGTGGATGAAGTAGTAATAGTTCTGCCCCCTAATTGTCTAATTTTAAATCTATTGCAATCGCTTTCAGTTTGAAAGGTGTTGTATAACCATTGCTTGTTTCTGAGGACAGTTAAAAAAAGTATTTGTATTATGCAGCAATGGTTGTGCAACATCTTTCAAACTGAAAGCGATTGCAATAGATTTAAAATTAGACAATTAGGGGGCTGGTTTCTATGCGTTTGCCTATGACTGAAAATCATGTTAACAAAATTACGTCATAAGTTGGTATTATATTTATTACGTCCCGTTAAAGAAATATACCTTTTATAATACGCAATTAAGACTGATTTATAAATACTTTCAAGAATATTATAAAATCTGTGATTTATAGTTCCAAAAATTGTTTGACATCATAATTAACACTTCTTTACTGCCATGAATCAGCTGCCATGAGCCATAAATAAAGAGCCTAATTCCTACAAAGATGAATTTAGCGCGGACTGGAACCAAAGGCATCCTGTTTGACTTTGCGAGATCATCAGTGAACCTTATGGGAAGTCCTGGCTCGTGCCACCCCTCTGTCTTATATTATTTCTTTCTTTAACACTGACTCGGACCAACTTCGTTATTCGTCTGCACGTCTGTCACCAGGCTATATCTCATGAACCGTGATAGTTAGACTGTTGAAAATTTCACAGATAATGTATTTTTGTTGCCGCTACAACAAATACTAAAAATTGAGTTAAATAAATATGTAGTTAAGGGGGCTTCCATACAACAATCATAGGACTTCAAATCCCTCAGCGTGTATTACATTGAATTTTGTTATTTATTTGCGGGATCCCGTATGTAGTCAATATTAGGCATAATGCAAATAAAACAATTAGTTAATTAACACAACTCCACATTTATTTATGTTTTACTGTTAGCATGTGATCATGATCAATCATATTAGACAGTTTATTTATCACCGAAAACTGAAATAACAAAATCTTTCAACTACAATTTTTTTACAAATAAACTTATTTAATGTATTCTTGTATTGTCTAACATTTTCCCTATCATTCTTTCAGTACGTTGTTTACCTGATAAGAATAACAAGTAAGAAACTCACCAGCTCTAATAAAAGTAACGACATTCACAAAAATCATGTCATTGGTAGATCAATAACTTATGAATTTATGAAGTCGATTTACATTTTAATATTAATATAATAGTGAAAAAGCTATGATCTTAGAATGATAATTTAATAGGCAACATGATAATTTTGAGAAATAATGAGTTAAGAAGAACTCACCTATCTAATTACTAGAATACCTTAAGTCCAAGCATTCTTATCTGATAAATTCTTTATATCAAGAAGATTTTTTTAAATAATAGATTTAAACTGAATTAACTATTAACTTATTGTACTCTAGTAATCGGCAACGTTAATTGATTTTAACGGCTAGTAACAAAAATTGTGTA